CCACCACACCAGAGATCCCCCCCCTCAAAGAGCAACTGGAAACACAGCATGACCCACAACACACAAAAATGCTGACCATCAAGGTTACATCTTGCAGACAAGCTGAAATAAGGAAGGCAAAAACCGCAAACCAGGCGGCTGAAGCTGATCCCCAGGAACAAGGAGGTAGGAGGATGGGTTTGTCAACACGCCCAGTTGTGGAACCACAATCCCCTCCCCAGGGACGGCCCCGGCCACAACACACACGTGAGGCTAACCGGTTAAAAAATTCTTTGCGTCCTAGAAGCAGCTTTTAAAACCCACAGGAGGTGATGGGGCGAGTCACAAAAACGCAAGGAAAGGGAAGTCACAGAAGATAGAACTAGAACCAAAACCAACTCAAAGCTTCCAGACCGCCTACTGCCACATACCTCCCAGCAGCCACTTAAGATCTCACAGATTGGGCCTCCTTCAGATGCCGTCAGCCGGACAGTGCCGGCTGGGGGCCCCCCGGGAGGAGAGCCTTCTCTGTGGCTGCTCCGACTTTTTGGAATCAGCTACCCCTGGAGATCCGGACCTTACCCACTCTCATGGCCTTCAGGAAAGCTGTAAAAACCTGGCTGTTCCGGCAGGCCTGGGGCTGTTGACCTCACTGTTGAGGTCCAGCCCCGATTAGAATGAATGCATGTGATTTTGTGATTTTTAAACTGTCTTTTTTTCTTCCTTTTTTTTCTCTTTTTTCCCCCCTTCTTTTTTGTAAGCCGCCCGGAGTCCTTCGGGATTGGGCGGCATATAAATTTTGATAATAAATAATAATAATAAATAATGACACTACATGAACTCCCAATGAACATAAGAGGGGATCATCAAGCTATCCTTGATACACCTTGTTCGTTGCTTTCGTTCCCCTCCTGTCCTCTCTATGCTGCTCACCTCTCCTGCCCTTCTTTACTGGTGCTTCTCTTGTTTCTTCTAGCCATTTTGGACTTGTAGCTGCTCTTGCGGGCTGGTCCAATCCGGATGGAGGTGTTCTCAAAGGGCGTAGTAGTCACCATCACCTTATTTCCACTCTAGGGGAAAGAAAGGTAAGCTAGCTGTAGGAAAGTAAGAGAAACACCGTTTCTCGGCCCCATCAGAGGCTCTCCCCATTTCTTGCATACTTCTGCTTACCTTCAGGATGAGTTCCACCACCTCAGTGTGCACCAGACCATGTACTGGCTCTCCATTGACATGAGTAATGAGGTCCCCTGCACACAGACCTGCCTCGTGGGCTGGACCCCCTTCCTCCACATGCTGCCAAGACAAAAAGCCAAGAGAAGGTCTCTCAAGACCGCTGCATCTCATTTATTCACAGGACAACAGGGTCATCGTTGTGACGGGAGAGTCCTTGCGACTGGTTTCCATCTCATTGGCTACAAGGCTCTTTCTTGACCATTTCCCTACCCAGAAGGTCTTCTCACCCAGACAATGTGATCCACGCTATAGACGTCGCTGTCCCCCAGATACACACGGATGGCGCGCAGCGTGAAGCCATACTTCTTGCCCGACCGTTGGATCGTGATTGGCGAACGCAAGTTGGTGACTGCAGGAGAGTAGTCTCGGGATGGGGAGGAATCTCGGGATGAAGGGTTAGAGGAGAGTGACCGGGGAGACATTGGGCTGGCCAGTGGTGAGCTGCTGTGTTGCTCCACTGAAAGGAGAGAGAAGAAGAACATTAAGGGGGAAGCAAGATGCTTTCCGTGGACACAGAGGACAAGCTTCCCTGCTGTAGTAACTGGAGACCAGTTTCTTGTGGGGTTTGGCACCAGCTTAGCTCTAACCTCTTATTTTTTTCCTGCCAGTTTCCAGGACCTTTGTGGCAAGGGAGCGGTACAGAATTTAGAGCACTGGGAAGCGACTGGAGGACAGGTCACCTTAAACATTGGTCCGTAGAGGGTTTTTAGTGAGGATCAAAGTGTGTTTCCAAGGTGGGGCGTGGGAGGAGTCACTGAATGGGTATTGTTACGGCCCAATTGCCTGGAGACTGAGTTAAATCTGAGGACACTCCCTCTGTTC